AAGATCATTATGCAGGATGTTATGTCGTCAAACAATAGAGTAACCATTTTCAGAAATAGAGGATATGACCATGGTACTGCCACTCCCCTATGCAGCTGCCTTGACAGTCTCGCTAACACATCATGACATCCTTTTTCATGAGACAGACTCATCCTCAAAGTGCTCCTCAATGCATTCTTCCAGCAGTCACTGTTGGCCAATTGAACTTGCCACAGAAGATAAAACTATTGTGTCACTCTGACTTTCCCGTTGAGCCAATGACAGTTATCTTTGGGGATCTCAAATACTCATTTCCTTGCCATTATTGATTTCCCTGTCAATATTCACAGAAGTACTCACCCTATGACAAGCTCTTAGAGCAGCTAGCAGGACACCTTGTGGAGCCAGTGAAAATAGCTGCTTACCCATACTGATTTTAAGCAGCATTTACTTCTTGGGGATTATTCTTTGTTTCCTTTTCTATAACATTATGGATGCTTTCAATGCTCATAGGTGACAATAATGCCTGAAGTGTCATCTCATGGTCAACCCAATCCAGTCCATATCTAGAGATGTGGGTAGGTCATCTACACAAGGCAAGAGTATCAGAAAGGCTTCTTTGTTTACACAAAAGAGTATCAATTCTACCACATACTCCTTTCATTTTTAAATATCTTGATCCAAGCACAATTGGCAAAGAATACTTGAAAATATAATCTTTGGCCTTAAACTATTTGCTTTCCAGCTCATCGTCAATCTTATCAGGAAAAAACTATTTTATCTTCCAAATTCCTTGGTCCTCCATATTTCCTCTCTTATCTCATAATCCAGCTCAGGGTTACCTAAAAGTCTATCATTAAAATACTGGCAATTTCACAACCTTTGCCAACTATACTCTTCTTACAGGTGATAGACAGATTGACATAGATAGATACAGATATTGATAGATACATAGATAATCTATTTTGAACTAACTCACTTTTTATAATCTTTTGTTTGTCCTAAATAACAACATCCATGGACTACTTATATATTTTTCTGATATACATTTAAACACCATAACCATTACAATTTAAAATGATTTAGCACCACCTAAAATGTTCTTAACAATGAGTATAATCTCTTTGAGAAACAATGATTTATACCAGCAGTTCTCAATACTGGCATATCAGAATCACCTGAGAAAACTTTTTTAAGAATTCCAATGTCTAGATCTCACCCAGACAATTAAATCTGAATGAAAATGTCTGAGAACAATGGTATATCTAAAAAAGAAAAAAATAATCACGTAGAAGATCCTCACTCTAACCTGTGAGCCGTGTGAAAACCTCAAGATAGACACTTTCAATTTAAAAATGACTTGAGAGCTGCATTACTAACTTTGGGATTTCTTCCCAACAGGAATTTAGAAACTAGCATTCAATTTCTATCCTAATCAGTGGTTCTAATTTTAAAAAGGTGAGTTGTTATTGGCTACAAAATTTAATTTTTCAAAGTTCATTTAAACTGAACAAAACAATTTTTTTTAAAGATTTTATTTATTTATTTGACAGAGACACAGCGAGAGAAGGAACACAAGCAGGGGGAGTGGGAGAGGGAGAAGCAGGCTTCCTGCTTAGCAGTAAGCCCGATGTGGGGCTTGATCCCAGGATCCCGGGATCATGACCTGAGCTGAAGGCAGACGTTTAACTGAGCCACCAGGCACCCCAAACTGAGCCACCCAGGCACCCCAAACAAAACAAATTCTTTGTAGAGTAATATAGAATTTTTTATGTTCTTTCACCTGTACGCATCGGACTTGGCTATGAGTTCTTTAAGAACAGGACCTTTATCTTTTTCACATATATGCATCTATGTGTCTAAGATCTCAAGCAGTGTCTGGCACAAAGTAGACCCTCAATAAATGCCCATCAAAAAAAATGAATAAGTAAATATGTATAGCTCTAATATTTATAAGATCCAACTTACGTCAAAAACATTTAGGGGTGCCTGAGTGGCTCAGTCTGTTAAGCATCTATCTTTGGCTCAAGTCATGGTCCCAGGGTCTTGGGATCAAGCTCTGCATCGAGCTCCCTGCTTAGCAGGGAGAGTCTGCTTGTCCCTCTCCCTTTGCCCTTCCACCCCACTTGTGCTCTCTCTTTCTCTCTCAAATAAATAAATTATTTTTAAAAAATTTTATAATTACTTCCCATCTCACTTGGACCTCATTATCCCTTTTGCAAGGTTTTCTTATAAAGATTCAAAAGATAATGACTAAAGTTTTCTAAAATCTCATCCCTTACTAAAAAGTAAAGTAGTAGTTAGGTGTGAAATGCCATCTTAATTATCTGTTTTCACTGCACATGTTTTAGTGTTTGAGATCTGAGGAGCTCCCATCAATTTCAGAAGAGGTGATTGCTTCTAACCATTACAACTGGCAGCATTTCATTCATATCCAACCACTGTCCAGTGCCCAGCACATACTATGCACTCAATATATCTGAAATGAGGATTTGAACAAACATGGCTTGTGGAATATAATCAAAACACTTTTCAGTGGAGAAGTATTTCCCCTACCACTGGATGAAACCCCTGGCAAGCTCCACGACTTATTACCAAGAACATTTAACCTTCAAAAAGCTCTTTTTCATCATCTATAAAATAAAGGGCTGGTACTACATACCAAGTTTTCCATTCTAGTTTTAACATTCTCTCTTTTTTAAAAGTGTACAATTCAATGGTATTAAGTACACTGATATTGTTGCTCTATTTCTAATATTCTAATAGCATGATTTAAAATTTTCTCTATCAGATCTGGATATGTCTTAACTTTTTTTTCTCATTCATAATTTCAGGAGATGGGATGACACTTTGAATTTCCACGGAGATCCCACTATGATTATAAATATTGATCTCACCCACCCTTCCCATCAAGGTCAGGATCTGTGCATACAGTGGATCCTGACAGAGCTAAAATTACTGACCTATAGAGAATGACATACAATCTGCCTGATGATTTTAATATCCTCTTGTCAGGCACTTGCCTCTTTTCCTTTGATTTGAGAAGGTTTTAGTTTCCATTTAACTGACACATGTATTCAACATGATTTCTTTTTCCCCATCAAACTTTTGGATAGGTGCCACCAAATCTGCACATATGGGCACCTTTCATACAACTCATGGAGAGATATATATTGGAAACTTCCCTCACCACCACTATAAATTTCTCATACAAAGAACTGGTGCTCACATTTTTTTGAGCTCCAAGAGCAAGTGACGGCAAAATACTGGCAACTCATATTATGCTGGTATTTTTAACCGAGGCATAAAAAGCTGCTGCGATTGCATTGTCTCTGACTAATGTTCTTATTTTCTTCAGAATTAAACCAGAACCAATTCCTCCATATGTTGCAGACAAAGACAAAACAATTTTGTTCTGTTCCCTTCTACTTTACATCTGAAGCCCAAGCTTTTGATTTTCTTATCTTGAAGAGAGATGTCAGAAAGAAATATTTTTTTTTTTTGTTCCATATAGTTGAGCCAGTAATGAAAGATGCAAATTAAACCTTGCATTCTACTCTCTAGTACCAAATGAAAGGAACATAGCCCTAGTGAATAACAGCCAAGAAACTGAACTGTATCCTGAGGGGACAGGAAGAATAAACATGGCAGGATATTATTGAGAGCAGCACTATTTTGGAATGTAGATATCACTGGTGTCCCTTCCTCTCAGAGAATACATATTATACTAGAAATAAGCATATGTGGGTGGTGAAAAATCCTCATGTGAAACCAGGATAAAACCCATTGCCCTCTGTTTCTACTTTGGGGGAAAATAGCCAAGAGGTTGATGAAGAACCAAGGAAGTTGGACCACATTCTTCTTTTTATCCATATTCATTTATTTATTCCTTCTCCTTTTGTATCATAGATGGTTATTAAACAACTGTATATCAGCATTGTGCTAGCCTCTGAGAACACAAATATAAGTTGTTAGCCATCAATAAGCTAAAACCAAGTTGGAAAATAGTCACCTACACAGATTCTTATAATACAAAGCTTTCTAAAGATCATGATCCTGAATTAAATTTTGCTTTAGTAAACACTAAGCATAAATTTAACTAATTAATAGCACTTCACACTTGTAAAATTTGTTCTTTACCACATTCACACATACACACTTATCCATATTAGTTATTAAATGCTGAGTGTAAATTAAACTTTAAAGGAAGGAGGTAAAAATGGTGTGGAAGTGGGAATGGTGTCATGCCAAATAGAGGAACTTGCATGAGAAAAGCTTAGAGAAACAGTTCAGTGTACTGAGCAGATTATCAGCCGTTTTGAATGGCTGGAGTGCAGAAAAAATTAAATAAGATGACCATGTAGTTTATTGTCCAAAGTGGGATAGTTTTGAAAGCAAAAAGGAATGTTTGAATAATTAAAATTGTATAATTTAAAACATTTATATATTGACTTAAAACTACTACTACATTATTATTATTATTATTATTATTATTATTATTATTATTATATTGTTAGGGTTGCAACATAAGTCTTCCATAATTATATTCAAAAAATAAAATTCTTTGAGAAGTTAAAATATATCTATGTACATTAAAACAAACAAAAAACCCACCCTTGATTATCTGAAACTTACAAATATAACATAAGCAGAATAATTATTCTTGATATAGATATTTGCATTTAACCAGCTTCCAAGACAGTACACGTGTTGGCAACATTAAGTACTTCTTCCTTTATCCCCAAGACCCAAAATGTTGAGCTATTCCTAGCCATCTTTTTTTGTTTATTAACAAATATTCTGCATTGTGTCTTTGAAAGGGAGATGATAGTTATATCATGTCTGGAAAGGCCTGGGCAAAAGAAGATGGTTATCCAAAGACATCTGTAAAGATACTGAGACCAACGTTGGCAATGAGTCCACATCAACACAGGGAATTTCTGAAGAAAGAGATGTGATATTGCCACATGGTTTGCAGAAGGGTGTTGTTCAGAGAGCCAACTTTCTAGAAACCTGAGAACTGGAAAAGCACTAGGAAATCCCCACAGTGAAAAATATTAAAGGTTCCAAGAATCCACTGTGCAAGAAAACCCTTCAGATGTGAGGAGTGTGGGAAATGCTTCAGTTATTTTTCTTACTATGTTAGACACCAGAGAATCCACACCGGGGAGAAACCCTTTGAGTGTAATGAGTGTAGAAAAACCTTTAATGACAATTCTTCATTAATTCGGCACCAGAGAATCCACACTGGAGAGAAGCCCTATCAATGGAAGAGTGTGGGAGAGCCTTTAATGATAATGCAAATCTGATCAGGCATCAGAGAATCCACAGTGGTGACAGGCCTTATCTCTGTGGAGAGTGTGGAAATAGTTTTACCAGTAGTTCCGGGTTTGTTATACATCAGAGAATCCACACTGGGGAGAAACCTTATGAATGTAATGAGTGTGGAAAAGCTTTTGTTGGTAATTCACCACTACTTCGACATCAGAAAATCCACACTGGGGAGAAACCTTATGAATGTAATGAGTGTGGAAAAGCTTTTGTTGGTAATTCACCACTACTTCGACATCAGAAAATCCACACTGGAGAGAAACCCTATGAATGTAATGAGTGTGGCAAAAGCTTTGGAAGGACTTCTCATCTTAGCCAACATCAACGTATTCACACAGGGGAAAAGCCTTATTCTTGTAAAATATGTGGGCAGGCCTTCAATTTTCATACAAAACTAACTCGGCACCAGAGAGTCCACAGTGAGGAGAAACCCTTTGACTGTGTAGATTGTGGAAAAGGCTTTAGTGCTCAGGAACAAATTAAAAGGCATCTAAGGATCCATATTCAGGAGTCTTCCTGTTTATGTGATGCCTGTGGAAAAGTCTTCACTAGCAAAAGAAATTTTCTTCAGCATCAAAGAAACCATACTGCAGAGAAACCCTATGAGTGTGTCAAGTATGAAAAAACTTTTAGGACTTCTTCCAAGCTAGGTCATCATGAGCATGTCCACCCTGGAGAGAAACCTGTCGTCCTGGACATCTGTCATTTTGGCCTCCCAGAATTTTTCACCCCCTTTTACTGGTGATAGTACATGAAATTTCCCTTTGGATTTCATCTTCCACTCAGGAGGAGGATGTGTGACACAGGCCTGGCTCAGCTGCACATTCCTTCCCCTAAGCCATAGTTGTTGGTTCAGATGTCAGTAGTTTACCCAACTAGGTCCAATTACAGTCCCAGGACTTGGCAAGAGTTAATAGGAAGAAATACTCTTCTTTTTCCCCTTAGTCTTAAAGCTGAGAGGAACTCTTAGATTCTTGCAGAGGCTGAGGAGAAAGTCAACACAGCAAAAAAGAAATCAGAGTTGAAGAGCAATCACCCTCAAAGCTTCTGTTTGAACAACTACATTAAACCATATCTGAAGCCAGAAACAAACAAACAAAAAAAGAAGATGGTTATCATTGATAATCTTTCAGATATAGTTGTGTTATAGAGAGAACTGTCTTTAATATACAAGCAACTCATCATAGCTAGTTAAGACATGACAAAAGCTGGAAGTATAAAATAGAATAAATCCATCCCTGCTTATTTGAATGCAACTATTAGTAATAACACCTTATTTAATCAAATGAAAAATCCTGGGCAAATACTAACCCAGGTAGGGCTCTCAGACAATAATTCATAAATCTGAATTGTTTTACACAGAGAAGATGTGTGATCAGCTGACAATTAAGATGATGGTAGAATAAAAAGCTAGGGAAGGAAGTGAAGGCCAGATCCTTTTTAAGGAAGCTTAGAATTAAGTAAGGGGAAATCAGTGAATGAAGAACTGCAGACAGAACTGTGTTTCAGTCAGAACACTGTGGCTGCTTTTTGAATATGAATTTTGAGGAGGCAGAGCTATTATATTAATTATACTAGAGATTGCAAACCGGGAGCTGATGAGCTACATCCAACCCATGTGTGTATGTGTATAGTTTTAATTTATTCTCTGCTTGTTTATTGCTAACATGCAATTTGATGAACTGAATTTTCAGTTTAAGCAATTAAAAAGCAGGAAATTTCACATAAAAATTCGGGCTGCTGGCTTGAATTGAAAAACTGGGGGGCGCCTGGGTGGCTTAGTTGGTTAAGCATCTGACTCTTGACTCTTGATCTCAGTTCAGGTCTTGATCTCAGGGTCATGAGTTCAAGCCCAGTGTGGAGCCTACTGAGGAAAAGAGAAGAGGAGAAGAAGAGGAGAGAAGAGGAGAGGAGAGGAGAGGAGAGAAGAGGGGCGCCTGGGTGGCTCAGCTGGTTAAGCACCTGCCTTTGGCTCAGGTCATGATCCCGGGGTCCAGGGATCGAGCCCCGCATCGGGTTCCCTACTCAGCGGAGAGCCTGATTCTCCCTTTCCCTCTGCCTACTTGTGCTCTCTATCTCTCTGTCAAATAAATAAATAAATAATATCTTAAAAAAAAAAAAAGAAAAGGAGAGAAGAAAAATTGGAAGCTCTGGGGTTTGAAGACCCGCTTTTCTGGGTGACAACAATTGGCAAAAGTTGAGTAGCATTTGCCTTTTAGCATGCAGGATGCACCTTCCAACTTGACTGCCTGACCTGCTTTCACTAACACACACTAAATGCCTGGGCTTGTGGCACTAGAGTTGGGAACTTCCAGTATACACTACCTATTAAATATTCTTGATAAAAATGGCCAGAAGAGGGGTGCCTGGGTGGCTCAGTTGGTTAAGCAACTGCCTTCGGCTCAGGTCATGATCCTGGAGTCCCGGGATCGAGTCCCGCGTCAGGCTCCCTGCTCAGCAGGGAGTCTGCTTCTCCCTCTGACCCTCCCCCCTCTCATGTGCTTTCTCTCTCTCATTCTCTCGCTCTCAAATAAATAAATAAAATCTTTAAAAAAAAAAAATGGCCAGAAGAAAACACATACCTAAAATAGTAACTGAGTTCTCATCAGATGTCCCAACCTAATGGCACAAAAGTGTGGACCAGGGGCGCCTGGGTGGCTTAGTCGGTTAAGCGGCTACCTTCGGCTCAGGTCATGATCCCAGCGTCCTGGGATCGAGCCCTGCATCGGGCTCTCTGTTCAGTGAGGAGCCTGCTTCTCCCTCTCCTTCTGCCTGCTGCTTCCCCTGCTTGCGCTCTCTTTCTCTCTCTGTCAAATAAATAAATAAAATCTTAAAAAAAAAAAAAAAAGTGTGGACCAGACAAATGTGAAGACGAGCTTTAGATAAGGGCAGGGCTAATGCGCATTCATATGATCACTTCAAACAGTATTTGCATCTCGTGACAGCACTGTACACTTTAGCTATGATGATAAAATGAGCCAAATGTAGAGCAACTGGATGATCACCCTGTCCCTGGGATTACAAGCAGTAACTTACCAGAAGGGAATATCATTTCAATTATAATTCATAACAATTCCAAGATTTCAGTCAGAACACTGTGGCTGCTTTTTGAATATGAATTTTGAGGAGGCAGAGCTATTATATTAACTATACTAGAGATTGCAAACCGGGAGCTGATGAGCTACATCCAACCCATGTGTGTATGTGTATAGTTTTAATTTATTCTCTGCTTGTTTATTGCTAACATGCAATTTGATGAACTGAATTTTCAGTTTAAGCAATTAAAAAGCAGGAAATTTCACATAATTCACAAGATAACTAGAGCAGGATCTACACCAGAGCATCACCTTCTTCTTCCTTGGACCAAGCGCTTCATTGAAATATGGAACATGTAGGGTTTCAAAAGGAGTTTCCCAAATGAAGCCATGGGACACTACCCTTCCTAACTCTGACAAAAGAACAATGTGCTATACTGGTTATTAACCTTCTCTTTTTCAAGGCCCATGTAATTTGTGGCTTCTACATTTCTGAGTTCCTATACAATGGTTATACATTTCATTAAGACTTTTAGCCAAAAAAAAATTATGTTATTAGAAAAAGTAGTAGAATAAAGTAAAAAGAACTTATGCTTTCTGCCAATTATACCATACCTTTGAGTTTGCTTTTTTGTAAAGGTTCCAGGCCACAAGAAGAATTCTTAACTCCTTTCCATGTTTTCTAAGACCCTTCAGGATCTGCTTACCCTCGCTAGACCCTCTCCAGTCCCTTCTGCCCCAAACTGAGTCTCCAGTAGTATTACGTGCTTCCATTTCCTCAAACATGTCATGTTCTCCCTTCCTGATTCAGCACATGCTCTTTCCTCGACCTAAAACATTTTCACAAAATCCCTCCCATTTGTTGCATATTATTTATCTATTGTTAAGTAACAAATTAACCAAACTTAGCAGCTTTAAATAACAAATATGTATTATCTCATAGTTTCTGTGGATCAGGAACCTAGAGAGAGCTCAGCTAGGAGATTCTGGCTCAGGGTCTCTCAAGCTATTGTCCACCGAAGGCTTCCTTGGGATGGAGAATTCACTTCCAAGATGGCTCACTCATATGGCTATCGGCAGCAAGTTTCAGTTCCTTGCCTTTTATTGGTGAAGGTGTCAGTTCCTTGCCATGTGAGCCTCTCCACATGGTTGCCTGAATATCCCAAGATGTCAGCTGACTTCTCCCAAAACAAGTGGTCCAAGAGGGAGCAAGGCAGAAGCCACTTGTCTTTTATGACTTAGTCTTGGAAGTGAAACATCAACAGTTTGGCCATATTTTTTAATTAGAAACAAGTCAGTAAGTCCAGCCTACACCCAAAGGAGGAACATTAAACTCCATCTCTTGAAGGGAATGTCAAAAGAATTTGTGGACACATTTTAAATCACCACAGCCTTACTAAAGCCAAATTTCAGCCTGGATATTTACTTTCTTGGTTATCCTTTGTGACTGCCCCAAGACTGGCTTGGTATCTCTCTTTAGCTCTCAGGAGATACCTCTCCTAATAGGGATTATGTTTTTGAAAGTAAACCCTAATTGTTTTTCTGTCTTCTGCAGTGGAAAGTAAGCAACTTGACTATGTCTTGCTCACATGTGTATTTCCAAGCCTGGCATAGTTCTTGGCTGTTGGTAGGCTTTCAAGGTTTACTGAAAAATGAATCAGCCCACTCAAAGAAGTGCTTTTCCCGCCTTTTTGCATGATAAGCAGAGAACGAAAGGAGAGAACTAAATGTTATAGTGCACTGCCTGCGTTGCCTTGCACTTTGTGTATGTTATCTCACTTAGTGACAGTTGAAAACTTTGATGGAAGCACAACCGTGTGGTGGAAAAAGTGAAGACTTGCACTTTCATACCCTCCTGCTGTTACAGGATTTTTATTCCCTTGGTGACCACAGTTCTTGGTCACGCTGCTTGGAAGAATGAAGAGGCAGACCAGACGAAGAGGGGTGGGCAGCAAAGCAAAGTTTATTGAGCAAGAGCACAAAGCTCCCAGAGAAGGAGGGGACCCGAGAGGGTTGCCGTTTTGGCATTCAGATCTAGGGGGGTTTATATGCTCTTTTGTGGAACTATCTTGAGCATCCTGAGTTTGGGCCCCTGTGGATTGGTTGCTAAGGTGTGCTAATCAGGGCTTGATCATGCACCCGTCTACCTATCCAGTTATTGTTCACATGCTGATAGTCTTTTGGGCTGACTTCTGGAGACTAACTGCCTCAACTTGTGATAGTGACCAATGTTTTATGGTTAATTATGCAAAAGTCACTTTGCAATGAGTCACTTCTACAGAGGTTCCTAGACAGAATGCTATTGTGGTCTTGTCTAAGCTATAAAACAGGATGCTCGTGCAGTTTTGTCTTAGCTGTCCTGGCTCCCTGTTTTCTTGTTGGGGACCCTGGCCCTGACTACCTCATTGCCAACCAACTCCTAACACTACCACTTGTTACTGCAAAATCTTGGCAGCTAACTCAGACTCTTGGAACTTCAGTTTTCTCCTGAAAAAATTGAAGGATATAATAGTAATTCCCTTGGCAGCCAACATGCTTTTAATGAGGATCAATGTAAACAAAAGTTAAATATAAGCCAAAAAGCATCATACAAATATACAAATATTACTATTTCTCAGATTTCTATGGAGTATGGATGATATTGGCAAACATGGAGAAGATGCTTCCATCTTTGGAAACTCAATCAAATGTGAAAGTCTTATCTCAGTGATAACCAATATTTTAATTTATTCATAACTAGCACATTTTAAATGACAGAGGAAGGTTGCCAGAGCAACAGTGCAAACAGTGGGCTAAAGGCCTTAGTCATGTCTGGAGTCAAACTCTGGGAGTGCCTGCTGCTGTTGAAGCCTTGGCTCTCT